CTGGCTTCAAAGGTTCTCGCAAAGTGCCCCAAGTACAGGGTTTCCATCTCATCATAAGGCTTTTTTCTTTGTCCCAGCTAAATGGATTGCTCCATCCTGGGCTCCCTCTGCGTAAGTCAGCTTGCACATGATGAGCTTTGCAGCAATGAAATTCGTTACCTTAACCACAAAAAAACCAGAAACATTTGCTACAACTGTTAGAATGCTTTTGCACCTAATTTAAAAAAAAAAAAAAAGGTGGTTTCCTCTCTTCCTCCCCGCCTACTCCTAATCCCATGCTAACACCTTTGTAAAAGCTGGGGTGAGTAGTTTGGAAACTGAAAAGGTGGGGGAGAGTGGGGGGGCACAAAAAAATATACAAAAATATATCAGATCTCCAGACAATGAAATTGAGCAGCTATCTCTCATATCCTGCAGTGCTCAGGCTGAGGTCATAAGTTAAACAGGACATCAGAATAGTTGATGTAATTTGCTTATTTAGGATCAGAGCATTCAGTGACGTGCAAGAGACAACCTATTTGAATGTGCAGATAATCCCCCTGTCAATGTGGGGCTGTTCAGATGCACAAACTGCAGCTGGAGCCTGGGATTTTTTTCCCCCGCACATTTATTTTTGCAGGGGATATAATTGCAATCATTTTTCCTTGCAGGAAAGCCTTGAAACCTCACCTGGGATCAGCCTCCTGTTGTGTAAGGTATTGTTCAAGCGGGGTCCCTGCCCCAGCCAGCTTAAAGGCTAAAGGGTCAAGTCAAACAGAGGGTGGGAAAGGAAGGAGAGGCCTGGGGGAGGTGGGGGTGGCACAGAGGCTCTGCAGGACCCAGGTCCCCCAGCCTGCTCCCCCCATACCCGAGCAAAGCCTCAGACCCAGAACTGAGCTAAGCAGCAGCTACACTTTTCAGTAAAGCCCAGCACAGCTTTTCTGCAGATGGACAGGCCCTCCTGGCTCCAAACCCAGCTGCAGAGCCTCACACCAGTGAGTGTTTTACAGCAGTTAGAAACCTTTAACCACAAGGTTCTTCCAGATTCCAGGAGGAATTTCTTGGTGAGCCCAAACAACACTGAACACAGTTGTCTCTTCAAGAGATAGTGACAAACCCTTGTGATATAAAGATGTAAAGCTAACAACTTGCAGTGTTTATCTCCTCAGTTTATCACCATCCAAGCTGGGATTCCTCCCTGTCAGCAGCACTGCTCACCCCAAGCCTGCCAGCCCTGTGCCTCCACTGATCTGCCTGCACACCAGTGTTCTTTCACTGACACAAGTTGGCTGGGCCAGATACCTCAGCCATGGGAAGTGAAACGTCCTGGGCCCTTGGGCTCACCAAGCAGTCAGTGACAAGGCCCTGGCACATGGCAAGTTCAGAGGTGTGGCCCTCACCTGCTTTGGGTGGACTTTCAATCATATGGCATGGAAAAGCAAGATGGCAAGAGTCACACCAGTCATGCAGGTAATGGATCCTGCCAAAACATGGCTGTTCTCAAGAGACAATTCATTCTCCTTTAAGAGACTGGAATGACATGGAGACATGGAGTTCATGTTCTCCTGCTGTTCCACCAGGCCATACCCAAGTGTCACAGCAGGATGTCCCAAACAGGGACAGCACCAGGAAGGGTGGGAGACAGCCACTGCTGGCCTGGCCTGGGAGAGGAGCTGAATTTCACCCCACTATGAAATGACCCCACTGTCAGCTGTCTGTGCCCATGGACTGGAGTCCATGCCTTCTTCAGCAGGTTTGGGTGGTTTTTCCTTCTTTAACTGCTAGTTCTGTGTTAGAATCTCCTGCAAGCTGTGGAGAGCACAGCATCACTGATCTCCTGGCTGAGTTGCGCTGTGAGCTGACATTTAAGGCTTCCCACAACAGCCTCCAACAACTCCACAGAGATCTTCCTGACTACTGTAAGGGTTCAGCATGTTGAATTGATCATATCTGAACACCCCAAATATTATTTCACACTGTCCCTTCCTGAAGGAAGTATTTCAGCTGTCTGAAAAGAAGAAAAATACCAGATACTCAAATGTATGCAGAGGTGACAGGTACATGACATTTGCATTTCAAATACAAGGTATGGGCTTGTAACATTTTAAGACTATGAAAGGTAGAACTTCTATAGGGGTTTTTTGCATGTCACCAAAAATTAATCTTATTTTCACTCAGCCCCACTAAAATGTTCCTCACCAAGGGCACCACCAGGCCCAGCTACAGCTACTCTGCAGGGGTGGCTTCACCAGGATCATCACTGAGTCCTTACAATGCAGCACTTGAGGAACACATGGAATGAAAGGGTCATTCCTGCACCATCACTGACACCTTTGGCAGTAGTCCCCACTCCTGAAGCCTTTAACTGGAGCAACCAAGCTGAAGCCCAGCACAAGTGGGAGCAGAAATGCTGAGCAGCCCCTGGATGACACTCCCTATGCACTTGCTGCTCTAGGTCAGACAGAGGTAGCCAGTATTGGCCATTGTTTTAACAGAAGCAGTATTTTGGCAGGGTTGCAAAGCAAGCCCATTCTTTACATCTGCAAAAGAGAGCCCGTCCATCCCTGCTGAGGGAGCTGACAGAGGAAACGGATTTTCCAGCAGTCTTGGGTACAGCATTGAATTGGGACCTATTTTTACCACGTGCTCTGCACTACACGCATTAATTGTTATGACAACATGTGCTGCCATATTCACTCCAGTCATTTACAGAACAGAACCCAGGAGACAAAACAAGCCCCTGCTCCTTGAGACAGAGGGAGCAGGCAGGATGCCACATTGCTTCCTGTGACAAGCAGCCAGGGCTGATGGCACAGATAACCCATCCCTGCTGGTAGGTCAGGCCGAGCTCCGAGCAGGAGAGGGAGGAGAGGGGCCCAGCTCATGAGTACTGCCCATCCTCCTGCCTAGCCCAGACTTGCAGCACTTGGCTCTTTCTGGAGCTCTGCTTGTGTGCCCACCATGCTCCCCCACTGTAGGGGCAGCCAAAACTCCGTCACCACTCTGTCACCCCTCAGGAAAGAGCTCTGCAAGGAGGAGCAGAGCTCAGAGCAGTCTGGGAGCCACAAGGTCTGTGACCCAGCACCGGAGCAGCACAGACAGGCTGGCAAGCACAGCTCAGCAGTTTCAGGATCCCACCTCCATCCTAATTAAGCCCAATTAGGTTTACAAAGAATGAGGATGTTTTAGGAAGGACGTATAAAAGAACTGCTGAGGTCTCTGTAGGCCAAGCAGGCCCAGAGCACCCTCCTGAAGGCAGAAATTGCCTCTGTTGATGTGGGCTGTCAGTTTTCCAGGGTGCTGGAGGATGATCCTGCTGCCTGTGCAGCCCACGGCTCCCTTTGCACACAACCCCAGGAAGTGCAGCTGGGAGAGCTGGGATTCTCTCCCAGAGGATCAGCAGCACATCAGCCAAACCTGTGCTCTCTGCAGAGACAGCTGAGCAAAATCCGCTCCAAAATGCCCAGGCCTTAAATGAAGGTAAAAGTGATTCAGAACAGGGAGAGGTTGGACAAATCAGCATCTTCGCATGCTGAGGGGTATAAAACATGCAGCTGTTCCACCACCACAATTTACAGGGAAGGCATTTCTCCTGGAAGTAAGAGAACACTTAGTATATATTCCTAGCCAGATTGATTACCCCTATTTATATTGTAAACTAAGACAGCATGTACTAAACCCATAGAGTTAACCAGTTCCAGACCCCAGATCCTGGGTGAGGGAGTCAGTTTTCCATTGTCTGCTGCACAGTCTCGTGCATTTATTAGAGAGCACTGAGTTTCCTGTAGCATGGTTTTATGTGTGTGTGTGTGTGTGTGCTTATTTTTGTGGTATTTCAACAACCATCAGGAGGAACACTGCTATTTTATGGGATGTCAAGGAACTGGAGAATCCATGAGGTTTTTTAAAGGTTTGTTTAAAACAGCCAAGAAGCCGGCGTGCCACTTTAAATATATGTATGTATAACAACTGCAATCTGTTCTGGGACAATAAAACCACAGGACTGAAGGCAGTATCCCATAGCTGAATATATCCATTTATGCTGCAGTAAGATGAACCCCTGTTCTGTGGATCTGACCTGCAGGGAGTTTCGTCAGTCTCCTCTCACAGCCAACCTGCCCAGCTGGACAACTCTTATTTGCTTTCTGAGTTACAGATCCAGTTTCAACATCTGATGGCAGACATAAACAGAGGTTCAGGACACGCTCTCTGGTGTGTCTGCTCCTACACTACTTGTGCAATTCCACTGGGCTAGGAGACCCCAGATCTCCACCATGAGGCACTGAGCCAGACTCACTGGCTTGTTTATGCCTAAGAAAAAGCTAATTTTTGAACCAACTTGCTTCTTTTTCTCTCTATAGACACTGAAAGGTGAGAGATGTTGAAGTTCCCTGTTGGTTTTATAATGCAGTTTGGGAAGGGATAGGTTTCAGCGTGTTGCTGTAACAAATACAATAGTGAAATTGGAAGAGATGGTGATTTGAGCTAACACAATTAAAATTTATTCTTAACAGCAATCCACAGATATCCTGTGCCAAACACAATCTGGAGCCATCAACTAGCATGGACATGAATTAACCTAATAACTTCTGAAAAAAAAAAAGAAGTCCTATGAAAAAATCCTCCTATTAAAGTAATTAAGTGTTAACAGAATCACAGAGCCATAATTAAACATGGTTTATAATTAAAACAGCATGTGTCCTAGACAGAGAACACAGCAACAAAGAGAGTCCAACCATGACAGTTGATGCCAAAACACAGGCCAAGTAGCAAAAATCAGAAAAACAGGCGAGTTTCTAGCAAAGCTGCAGATGCAGAGCCTCTGATCCTCTGACTGAGCCCTCAGCACCGTGACGGATGTGACTGCACTCAGAACTCCTCACGGCTTTGCCAGGTGCTGCCAAAGTTCAAGCAGAACTCTTGGGAACCAAGAAGACACCGAGTGCAAGGCCCAGGACACCGAGGCAGCGCAGGGAGTGGTGGGCGAGTGGGAGCCGGGGCTGGAGCCAGCCTCGTCCTACCTGGCAGCGGCTGAAGATGTCACCCAGGGACACCTGCACGTTGAAGTGCTTCAGCACCTGCAGCGCCTGGTCCTTCGCCTTCTGGGAGCAGTTCACAGAGAAACACCTTCCTTCTCCCACCTGGGAGCGCAGCTGCAAACCAGAGACACCAGTGAGACCGAGCACAGGGCACCTGGGGCTGTTCTGATGCTCTTGGCTTGGTCTGAATGCGGAATAATGCTTAGAGTTAGTGTGTGTTTACAGTCTGAATTCTGGTCTGAGCACCACGATTGGTAACCTAACAGGCACTGCTGCAAGAGCTCTGACTCCTGAAGCATTGTGTGATTTTATGTGTACGAAACATGATTTAGGCTGGAGAAAGGGAGGCTCATGGGGACCTTCTCACTCTCTACAACTCCCTGACAGGAAGGTCCAGCCGGGGGGAAATGGCCTCTTCTCCCAGCTAACAAGTGACAGGACAAGAGGAAATGGCCTCAAGATGCTCCAAGGGAGGTTTAGATTGGATTTCAGGGAACATTTCTTCACAGAAAGGTGGTCAGGCATTGGAATGAGTTGTCTGGGGAGGTGTTGGAGTAATCTTTGGAAGAGCTCAAGAGTCATCTGGATGTGGCACTTGGAGACATGGTTTAGTGGGGACCACAGTGGTGATGCTGGGTTAACAGCTGGACTTGATCATCCTAAAGGTCTTTTCCAACCTTAACAATTCCATTATTCTATTCTATAAAATATACACAAGTCCTGTCAACTCACATTTTGGTGAGGTGGTACTGACAGGGGCAGCAAAAGAAACCTGACCTCAATCCCAGCTTTCTGAGGAAACTTGGCCAGATCCCACAGAGTGTGCCAAAACACAGTGATGGAAACAATGAATGCCCAGTGACCACTTCAACCCCTCTGATTCACACAAACGTTTCACCTGGAGTTCCCTGGTGGCCAAGAAATGTGAAGGGGTTGATGTGGGCAGTCTCTCAATGTTTGTTCCACAGTCTGTAGAGAAGTGCATCTGTGAATGAGCACAGGGAAGTCCCAGACACATCTTATGACCAGGCTAAGGACTCACAGGAATGGGATCAGCTACACACCAGCAAAGGAGCCTGGCAGAGCCATCCCATCCTTGTGGAGGGCATCCAAAGGCAAGGGAACCGAGGGAACCAGAGTATTTCCCAGGAATATTGTACCCTGGAAGCAGTTATTTTCCTTTTGCAATTCCTACACAGTACTTTGAAATTAGAGCTCTGCCAAACAAGAGGGTGCTGGATTCCTTATTCCACCAGCTGTAGGCTCATGGAACCTGCAGGGTGGCTACACCTGCCTCATAGCCTCTCATTATGGGGAGGAGTTTTATTCCACACTCTGATTTTCCACAGGAAATCAGCAACCCCTACTCTGCAAATATTCTGACTGCCTGCCTGAGTAGCTGGGAGATTTTATGCTGACAGTTTGTGACAAAGAAGTCCTGCACCCTGGCTCATGTGAACAGAACTCTGGCTCATGCAGAACATTTTCACTCTTCTAAATGGATTTTTAGGCACTAAAAAATTGCAAAGGACCTGCAACAGGACATCACAACTGTCTAAGCATTGACTTGGCAGGCTCAGCACTGCATTTTGAAGCATGTCTGTGAACAGCTCTGAACAGCTGGTGCTGAGGGCAAGGTTGGCCTTTGCTTTGCCTTTTCTGTGTAGCAACATGAAACCTCTCCAGCTTCCACCAGACCCATGCTTGGGGCCTTCCAATCTCCCCCTTCCAAGCCTGAGGAAATGTCCCTGAGGGCTGAAACTCTCTCAGTGCGGAGCCAGCCAGCAAACAAGAATCTCTGGGATAAAAAGCACAGAAATTGAGCTGCCTTTCACCTGCCAGTGAGGCCAGACAGAAACACACTGCTCTGGATTGTTTGGCTTGACTTCCACCCCCACCCCCAATGGAGAGCAATTGCTCTCCCCACCAATGCAGGACTAAGTATAAAAAAACATTTTGCCCCAAGCCTTGGTGGTTGAGAAAAGCAAACCTCTGAAGACCCTAAATGTAGCTTTTAGTGGAGAAAACATGAAAAATCCAAGCCAGCTGTTGCATTCACATCTGACTTTTCCTCTTGTCTCCCCTGCACACCCCAGACCATGCAATGATCAGTGCCAGAAACACACCAGCAGCTTGGAACACTCACAGTCTGATATGGGAGTCCAGAGGTCAAAATGACTCTTCCTTCCTGTCGGGCAATCTGGAAAAAACAGTAAAAATCCAAATGAGCAGGGGCTGAAGTTACACTGAGTCCAGGCTTTACTTGCAGTCACAGAAGAGAGGAGGTGAACTGGAGATATTGAGTGTTTCTCTCACTGTCAGTCCACACCTGGCCAAGAGTTCCTGACAGCAACAGCAGCTCCAAGGTATGGCTCACCCCTTGTCCCTTTCCTGCCAATCCCTGCCTCATCTGCCATGTGGTGGAGCAAGCTGCTGGCCCAGGGAACCATTCCACCTTGAAACGATTCTGTACAAAAACAACCTTTTAATTTTTTCGCTTAACCCAGATTATTTCTATTTCCCCAGTCTGGGTCACAAAGAAGGAAACAGTTCTACTGCACAGGGAGAAAAGGAAAAAAAACCTAAGCAGGTAATTCTAGAAAAAAAATGTACCGTGAAATGTGTCTGCAAACTTCATACCTTTAACAAAACTGCTCCTTAGAGAAGGAGGGTGTTATTGTCCTGGCAACCCAACACACAGGAATTCTGCACCTTTCCAGGCTGCAGGAAACATCTCCCAAAGAGTTTATCACCTCCCCACTTGGAATCCCGGGCTTTTGTCAGAGTCCTTCAAGTGGAAGGTGTGTGCTGAGTCCCCAGGGAGCCATCGGTGCCCTGCTGACCTTCCCCGGGCTCGGGGACACGCACAGGGGGCGCTGCCAGGGGGAGGCACCGACTCTGGAGCTGCGAGGGTGAGGTGGGACTGACCTTCCTCCACACGACTGAGTGACGCCCTCCCTGGCACCCCCCACCCTCCTGCAGGAGGGACAGACTCAGGGCTGCAGCAATAGGAGGATTCACAAGGATTCCCATGTGAACCAGGACTCAGCTCTGATCCTGCTGACAAGAGATCAGTGCTTTGAAGTAGGCACAAGGTTATGTCTCTTCTCTGGCTTGGATTCTGTTAGAAGGCCTCATGTTTTTCACTGACTCCAGATGTGTGTCATGGAGGTCTCTCATCTGGTTCAGAGTGCAGCAGCTCTGTCTGGATCCCTCTCTACCCTTGGCAGGAAGACACATTTGGGATCAGAGTCCTGCTGCACTTCCCAGAGAGACACCAGCGAGCACAGCCAGGGAACACCAGACAAACCAAGCACAACTTTTAAGCTCTGTCTTGGGTAGTCATTCTCTTAAGACTCACTGAACCTATGGCAACAGGAAACAAGGGGAGAAGGCTCTGAAGGCCCTGTGCAGGCAACCTGTTAAACAACTTGTTTTTTCCCTTTTTTCCTCTTCCTGAGCTTTCAGGTATCTGCTTCCCTCCTTTAGTTGTGAAGTCACTCTTTGGCTGAAAATTCTGCACTGAGAAAGTGATTGGCAACAACTTCTAAAACATCTTTCTACCGGCAAAATTACTGGATTTCTTTCAAAATCAACCCTCTCTCGCTCAATAAAGGAAAAAAACCTCTAAGAACAGGAGCCTTGAAGGGGCAGCACAGACACCCCATGCAGTCCTGCTGCTGAGCAGCCACCACAGCACCCTTGGGGCACAGTAGTGAGGGAGGTCTGGCAAGGCAACAGCAAAAGGTCACCACAGGGATTTGCCAGCAAGGGAAAAGGGATGTGAAATTTCTCCAGACCCATGTTTGCTTCAGGGTAAGTCTGAGGATTTCACAGCTGGAACACTCCATTCTGACTTTCTGCATCCAGGGTTAATTAGTTCAAGCTTGATAAATCCCCTTATCTAAATGGCTCTGCAGAGACAGGCAAAGAACATCAAATAAAAAGGAGAAAAGCAATAACTCTTCCAACATGTTTTTCTGCCTCTGGAACAACGACTGGGAGAAGCACACAGAGCCAGAAAAGCCATGTGATAGCACACATCTGACTGAGATCACAGAGGGTATGTGCTGGAGAAAAGGGCACAATTCCTTCTTTTTCTGCAAAAGCAACAAGGGAAGGCAGCACTGGGACCATGGGGAGGATGTGTGGTCAGGGATGCAAATGAGAGGAAAAGAACACCCAGGGCAGCATTTTGGCATGGGTGTCAGGGACCTGTGCTCTAGCCCAAGTGCTTCAGAGAGGGCATTGGCCTCAGTTTCACAATCTATTACAAAGATAATATCAACTTCCTCTGGAAAAGGCTCAGGCCTTCTGGATAGAAAGCACTCCCTAATCTGTTGGTATTACTGATTATCCCTTAACGTGTCTGTCTGTTCAGCCAACTTCCATCCTGCAGAAATGAATGAACCCACACAAATTACTGTCAGAGAGACCTGCAAGGGCAACGACTGAGGAGAGAGGGCAGAGAGAGACCCTTTGTTTCCAAGCCAGCACCAGCAGCAGGATGATTCGTGACAATCTAAAGCGTCCTGAACCAAGGCCAAAGGAGGTTCCAAAAAACAGCAACACAAGGCTGTGCATTTGTAAGTTAAACTTTGCCAAGTCTGTGCAAGACACATGTTGGGCAATGCCACATGTCCTTGGAGAGCCAAACTGCAGCACAGGAAAAGCTGTGTTTCCCTTGCAGTGATCCTGAGCCCGGGCCAGCAAGGCCCCGGCCAGACCAAAAGGGAGAGCACAGAAAGTGTCTGCCCCAGGACATGTGCTGGGAAAGCACCCAGACAAGGATCTGTTAGAGAAGAAGATCACAAAACCCAGTCCAAACCCAGGGGCCCCCCCTGTAATCCCAGGCTCTTTTAAAAGAGACAGTAAACCAAGAGCTTAACAGCTCTGAGCACGCTCAGTCCAGCTCTCCCAGTATTGCAACCCTAATCTTCTCTTCAGCATTCCTGAAAAGTATAAATTGCACAGAGTTATCACATGGTTTTGTAACGTGGCCTTAAATGTCACACCAAAACCATCCACCCAGTTTTCTCTGTGCAGATCCATTTGTATCAAGGTCTCCAATGAAAGACCTTCTCCTCCTGCTGACCCAACATCAAAAGCCAAGTCTTGATCTTAAAAGCAACACAGCTCTTCATCTGCCCTCTCTGAATTTAGCTTCCCAGCAGACTAAAAAGACCAGCAAACCTGGAGAATGTCACTACATCAAAAATATGGAAAAAGCCAGTCAAAGCTGAGACAAGATCCAAGATTAGATTCCCCCATTAGGTGAAGATCTGCTCACTGCAGGATTAAAATCCCTTTTGTGTCACCTGGCTCCAAATTAGTCTAGGGCAATTTAGATCTGGGTGTACAATGCTCTGTCTGGCTCCTGAGATCCATCCAGCCTGGCCCTCACTCGCTGGTTCACCTGGAGCTTTGGAGGGGAGGTGTAACCTTGCAAGGGAACCTTCCACAGCAGAGGAGCCTCAGGAAGCCAGTTTTACCTGCCTTCTGGTTATTAGCATACTCCAAAAGATACCAGGTTTGCCTTAGCATCAGATTATCCTTAGAGATGAGGATGATTTTGAAGACCAAGTGCAAAGTCCATTCAAAAAATAAAGTAAACCAACCCAGAACACAACTGGAGCAGCTTTGAGATTCCACTGAGTCTCTTATTAGAAACCTAAGAGACTATTAAAATTTTCTTAAAACCTTTTGCTCTGCCCCCAAGGTACAACATTGCACAAGCTACTGTAGTCACTCAGGCTGCTGGATGATCCTGTAAGGTTGGTGTGAGAAGGATCTCACTGCTTTGCCTGATTCTCCAAAACTGCAGAGAAAACAGGAGCATCCACTTTTCCATCTCCTTCCAATTATCTGGAAAACCCAAAAGATAGGTTTAAGATTCTCTGCAAAGAGAAGTTTGGAGAAGACAAGATGGAATCATAGAATAGTTTGGTTTAGAAGGGATCTTGAAAAGGTCATCTTGTCCCAGCTGCTCTGAAGTGAGCAGGGACATCTTCAACTGGCTCAGGCTGCTCAGAGCTTCCATCCAACCTGACCAGGAATTTTCCAGGGATGGGGCATGAAGGACCTGGGTAGGAACACAACAGGCACAGGGCATAATTTTAAGTAAATAAACTTGTATTAATTGCAAATAACATGTTGCTTGTAGGAGTAAGTGGAAAGGCAAAGGATGGATCACCCAAAACTGGCACCTGCACACTCAGAACCTGCTGCATCCCCGAGATGGAATCTCTACATTCTTTACCCCATGGACTGCCTGGAGCTGGAGCCAGTCCCTGGGGAGGAATGGCTGGATGCACACAGCCCTTTGTCAGAGGGCACACAGCAGAGAGCCAGGCTGGGGCCAGCCTGGGCAAGGATTGCTGGGGACAGCACACGGTGGGTCCCACCAGCTCTCAGTGCACAGGCTGCAAAAATTCTCAGATAAAGGAGCTTGTCCAGCACATCTGGAACTAATTCCAGCCCCAGCTGCAGACCTGCTGGGCCACACAGGTGTGTGCAGGAGCTACAGCAGGTAGGACAGCAGGGTAATATGGGAAAAACAGCACAGCCACCCCATTGAGTGAGAGGGCTTAATAAAACAACCCCCACTGCATCTGTAAGGACAGCCTGTGAGTTCTTTGCCTTTCACATGAGGATAGATTAAACCAGAGACATTTTTAGTATGAATTTCTACTGGTTTTCCATTTTTAAAGATTTTCTGTATCTGCACTTATGACAGGCAACTTTAATCAGTCAGTTCTCCAGCCAAGTCCTAATTAAATGGCATCATTAAATCAGAGACTGCAAGCTTGTAGCATCTCATAGCACATAAACAGAACCACAGAATCATTAAGGCTGGGAAAGACCTCCCAGGTCATCAAGTCCAACCACAAACCCAGTACTGCCAACTCCACCACTAACTCTGGTCAGTCAGAGGGGATCCAGTGGATCATGGTGCCAGAGGCCCTGCTCTCACACCTCTCCAGATCTGGCATGACAAACTCACCATGACAAGTCCAAGATAAAATATTTAGTCAATAACAGCAACACAACACAAAGCATAACACAGGACAAGGGTTTCACATCCTTGGGAATGGGGGTTGCCAAACCATTTCCTGTACCACGTGCTAGCCTAAACAAAACAAAAAACAAGCAAACAAACAAAAAAGATAAATCCATAACTACCCAAGTACAGCTGAAGAAGTTCTCAGGCTTTTAAGCTTGATCCCAAATAACAGAGGGTGAAGGACCCATCTGCCCACTAATACTTGAAGCCACTTTAACAAAGAGAAGGAATGAGAACAATAAGGAGCAAATGCCAGGTGCTGCAGGAGTTCTTGGCACAAGGAGAAGTGTAGTATGACTTATAAATAATTTGAGTGAAGAGACTTTATTAAAGAGCAAACACTAATGCTGTACACTCTTAGGTGTCCCTAGTGACACCAGTTTGGGACTCTGCAGGGACAACACCCAAACCATCTGTCTTGTACTCAGTGACCAGGATCCAAACCCTCTGCTGGCCTTTGCAATAACATTCCCAAGTTTTTGGGCGTAGGGTGGTCAACATTCAACTTTGATTCAATCAGGACCAGCCAGATATCAAACAGGGTAGGAGGAGTCTATTTTTATCTTTGATTATCCAAGCCCAGATCAAAGGCTCTACAATACAGTAACACTCCAAGGGCTTTTGATAGTGAAAGGATGTTTGTCCAGTCACCATAGAGAAAGCAATGTCAAACATCCTGTCCATGGCACGATAAGGGATGGGGATGAGAAGTGGAGACGGAGCTCTGGGGGGAGGCACTGAGAACTGGTTTGTTTAAATAACTTGTGCAAGTCTGGCAGGGAGGAGATATTAATTATTTCTGCAGAAGTTAGAGCCTGGCCCGGATTCTGGCCAAGCAGACATCTGAAGAGGAAACATCCTGCACACCAGGCTGGGTGATCCATGCACATTTGATAGCACACACTGTGTGGCCTGAATATCTCTCTTGACTCCCTCGAAGGCAGGGAGGTCCTCTGGGAGAGCTGGACAAATAAGAAAGCTGGGCAATCACCAACCAGATGAAGTTCAACAAGGGAAAGTGACAGATTCTGCACCTGGGATGGAGCAACTCTGGATATACAGACTGGGGAATGAGATGCTGGAGAAGAGCATCACAGGAGGGAACCTGGGAGTCCTGGTTGACAGAAAGTTGAATGTGAGTCAGCAGAGCCCTGGAGCCAGGAGGGACATTTGTGTCCTGGGGGCATCATGTGCTGGTCAAGGGAGGGGATTGTCCCACTCTGCTCTGGGCTGGGGTGGCCTCGCCTCGAGCCCTGATGGCAGTTTTGGGCACCACAAACAAAGTAAGAAAGACATTAGGCCATTAGAGAGTTTCCAAAGGAGGGTAACGAAGATGGTGAAGGGCCTTGAGGAGAAGCTGTATGAGAAGTGGCTGAGACTTGGTCTGTTCAGCCTGGAGGAGACTGAGGGGAGACCTCATTGCAGCTACAACTTCCTGGTGAGGGGAAAAGGAGGGGCAGACACTGATCTCTGCTCTTTGTGACCAGGGACAGAACCTGAGAGAATGGCATGAAGTTGTGTCAGGGCAGCTCAGGCTGGAGCTCAGGGCAAGGCTCTGCCCCCAGAGGGTGCTGGCACTGCCCAGGCTGCCCAGGGAATGGGCACGGCCCCGAGGCTGCCAGAGCTCCAGGAGCCTTTGGGCAGCGCTGCCAGGGGTGCCCAGGCTGGGGCTGCTGGGGGGCTGGGCAGGGACAGGGGCTGTTCTCAATGATCCCTGTGAGTCCTTTCCAGCTCAGGGGATTCTGTGATTCTGTGATTCTGTGATTCTGTGATTCTGTGATCTGCACTCCTGGGATGGCAGACATGTGTCTGAAATGAAGCAGCATTTGTCTCTCATCCAGTAGGCAGAGGGGCAGAGTTATAATGGGAGCTCAGAGCAATACTCATGGTCCCCTCTTCCTTTCCCAAACACCACTGCAAGTTGTGGCTGATCACCTTTGAGTCACCTCACAAGGCCAGCCAGGATGTTACATGGCCACTGATTAAGGACATTCTCCCTTCTGTATTGAACAGCCACCTTTGGATTATGGGTCTGCCCAACTGAACTGGACACCAGGCAGACAAGTACCTTCCCTGTAAGCCCAAACTGGAGTGCATTAGAAATCTAAGTGAATGCTGGCTCCTTTCACTGACTTTTGTCTTGTTGCAAGCACACACATGACTTGGTCACGTCTTTGGGGGTTGGAGATGATTGTTAAGGCCCCTTCAAAGCCAAAGCAAACCATTCTGTGATTCTATGATCTTTACCCTCCCCTTGTGTTCTTCTCACGACTTGAGCTGCCCCAGCTGCCAATGACACAAACAGACACACACGAGAGTGAGACACACGTGAGAGTGAGATCAGAGCAGGCTCTGCTCCCCTCCTCTCTCCTGGAAGTGGAGAACCAAGGCTGCACACCACTGCAGGGACCAGCTGATTCCAGCTGCCAGTGCTCAGGGTGACCCACAGAGCTGGGAATCAGCACAGGGATGGAAGGAGGGACCCATGGGGCAGCTCCTGCAGCCTGAGCACCAGTGCAGCTTCCCAGTGAGCCCCATCGTGTCCCCATGGACATGGGAGCTGTGAACTCACCTCAGCAGCTTTCCTGTGGTCATCCTCATTGTCCAGCAGCCGCACATCCACGCCCAGGCAGCGCAGGTAGCACCCCAGGCCCTGCAGCATGTTGTCACAGACCACACTGAACTCCTGGGGGGAGATAGGGGCAGGGGGACGTGAGGGCTCCATTCTGGGTCCTTGGAATTCCTAGAGAAAGGCAGGACATCCATAAGGAGCAGAAGTCTGATTCCCAGTACATTTGTGTTTTTACTCCCTGCGTTAGTTCACCCACCATGGCACATCCAACTGCCTCCTTCCACCTGTGTCACCACCTCCCCATGCTCTGCAGCACCTCTAGATCCTCCTTCCCATCCTTTCCACGTTCCACCTAGGCAGGGGCAGAACATGATGGGGCTAATTCTGTATTCGTCATTCTCTCACTGACCAGTTGGCCACCTGATCCAGGGACCTGCAGCCTTTCCCTGGAGAAGTGCCAACCTGGCCTCCAGTGCTCTGCACAGGCATTCATCATCAAGAAATCACAGAAACATAGCCAAGGCTGCTGTTCCCCTAAATTATTCTGCAATTAATAAACACATGTCAAAGCTATGATTTGGGACAGACAGAGGGAGAAACAGGTAGACAAAGCAACCACGTCAACTCTGTTATCTTTGGAAGGTTAAAAATAGACAGTGCCTGCATTCTGTTTGTTTTATTTCAAATGTCTGCTGCTGGGGGAGTTCCTGCACTGGGAGGACTTTGGCTTTGGGAGGCTCCCAGAAGTACAATAGCTAAATTCATGGAGAAGGGAAGTTATTAAGGAACTTCCAATGTCCAGCTTTTGACTCCAGGAACTTGAATCAGCTGGGATGACTGAAGGACACTGCCAGCAGCTATGCAGGGAGCCAGCACTGCAGATCAGCTCTGCAGGAGCTGTCCCCAAGCTGGGAATGCTGTGGCACACCAGGCAGCTCCACCTGGGCTCTCCTGGGCTCTCCAGCTCAGGTCCAGGAGCAACCCTGGTGTGATGCTGCAGTTCCCAGCAGAGGTCCCTGCAGCCAGGGCTCTGCAGCACTGGGCAGACTGGGCTGTCACTAGTTCCTGCAGGACCCTGGTCGATGCAGCTGTGACACCAGAACACGGTGACAGGGAATGGAGCTGCCCCCTGAAGCTGAGGCAGTTGGACATGCTGCCCCTGGCTGCTGCTGCTGTTCAAACAGATGTGCAGGAGCTGCAGCTGGCTCTCAGCCAGTGTTTATCCAGTGGCCAGCACTGTCATACAGAGCTTTTTTCTCACATTTCATGCCAGCAGAGAGTAAAAAGCTTATAAAGGAGAATGGAGTCATTAGCCCCACTTCAGACAAGGAAACACTGGGAAAGAGAGCTTAGAGTCCTGCTGGATGCAGTCAGGACAAGTCTGCTTTTCTTGGCATCCCAGTCCAGGTTTTACCAACTGCCTCTGGCTGATGGATCTGACTGTACAGAGCACAAAGATGACCTGCGGGTTTCCAAGGTGACTGAAGCCTGGAGTGCTCACTTTTCCCACCTCTGCAGCAGCCACCCAGCTCTGCTGTAACACACAACATTCCCATAAATGCAATGCTCAGGGAGCAGCTCTGTGTTCTCCTGCCTGCTGAAGGCCAAGGGATACTGCACATTTACACACAGGTGGACACACCCAGCAGCATCTCAGCCCAGCCACGGAAAGGGCACTGACTTCAGAAGCTCCACACACACCTGGGGCTCCTCAGGATACACAGATACACATGGTGGGTCTTCTCAGGCAATGACAAAATGGGATTTGTGCCAGGGTTTCCAAAGGTGTACAAACCACTGAATGGTTCCATTTAAAATGTAAAACGTTATTCCTGACAGGCACCAGTCCCATTTCAAGATACTTAAGCAGAGTTGCACAGCTCTGGTGAAGTATTAAGGCTCTGCCACAGGACAAACTTCTGGGAGAGGCCTCTCATGGAATGTGGTGGTGGGCAGGGAGGCAGAGACAAACCTTCAGCAGAAAGGCATTTTTGATGGATCATTTGCTTTTAACTTTGCAGACTTCTACTCCAGACATTCCCAATGTGAAAGCAAGGTGTGGAAGCTCAGTAAAAATGAAAAAGTAAGGAAGTAAGAGTTTTGAAACCTTGGCCACAGAATCCAAACCCAAAATGTGGAAGGAGAATTTCCACGAGCAAGGCTCACTGGGCTTAGCACAAAGATCTGCACCCACACTGTGCAAAGAAAGTGAACCTCAAAGAGCAGGGAAAGCTAGGCCCAGGCAGGCCAAGGAGAGAGCAGAGTGTCCTGGGAGGGAGGGGTAGGGAGGATGTTTGCTGCAAGAGTCCTGAGAACAGCCGTGCCCAGTGAATGGTGTGACTGAGAGCAGCAGCGTGTGATTTGCAGGGGTCTTGAGCAACAAGCAGCTCTTTGAAGATGTTTACAAACCTGTCCAGAAGGTGATGGTGCTTCTTGTTTATTCAGCTGCTTCTTTGCCCTGGGTTTTTTGCTCTGTTTTCCCACCAGACTCTCTGTCAGGTCTGAACTCAGACCGAAGCTCTCAGGGTCCTTGCAGAGCCTCTCATAGATCTCCAGCAAGCAGTAGGCATCAGAGGCTGCAGGGAAGAGAATGTGAGCCTCAGCTCAGATGAGGCTCATTCAAAAGTAAACCAGAGGCTTTCCTAAGGCAAGGAAGAGCCCCCACCTTTGTAAAAGCCACTGTGAACAACTGTGAAGCTGCAACTCCCTCAGGTCATACCCTCAAGCTCCAGGACTGACTCACTGAGCATCACAGCTGAACCCACAGTCACAGGGAGTCAAGAGCTCCTAAAGACAGGCTCTGCCATCTCCACTCTAACCCAATAGCCCAGTGTAAACTGCAGTGTGGCTCTTCCAACCACCACCAGGTAGCTCCAGCCAGCCCCCATTCCTCACCATTGTCCCCAAGCCTGCCCACAGCTCCTTATCACTCCTCTTGACAGGAAGGGAGCTTCCCCAGGAGATGCAATATCTGAGCAGGTACTGCCCGAGCTGTTTGCAATCACCTGCCCACACTCAGTGCCCTGTGCTGCTGCTCCCTGCAACAGCAACAGGAGAACTCTCCCAGCCAGTCTGACAAGTCCCAGTGATTAACTTTTGTGAGAACTGTGTCAGCTTCAAGGATAGTCGAATTTAACAAAGGGCTAGTTTGCATCAGCAGACTGTCCTTTGATGCACCAGGAAAAGGTTTAGACCCAGACTTCTGACTCTGGGGTAATCAGCAATAAACTCTATGGGTCCCTCCATAGCCCTGAGTCTGTGCTGCAGTTTCTGACACATCTGCCCATTTCAAACCCGGCTCTAACAAGCACCTCACTGTGACAAATGAACACGGCATTTGTTTCCCAGGAAGGCAGTGAAATGAGGCAGAAGGAAGTGGACTTTCCTCCTTACAGTTATTGAGAGGAGTTTCCACTGAGGTGATGTTTCATCAGACCAAATCTGCAAAGCACAGGAATTCCTTCCTCAGGGAAATAATGAATCACTGGACAGTTTAAACTTCAACCATTAAAGTCATGTCCTCAAAAGGACAAACAAAACATGTGCTGACTCCTTTGAACAGGAACTAATCTGAAAAGCCATTTTCTCCCTCTGCTACTTAAAGACTTTCCTGGGGACAGAGCAGCCAAACACAGCCTGGCCTGGGCACCTGCAGCACCCAGCCAGGGCCAGACCTGCATAGAGGATCTGCTCCTCCCGGAGTGGCCTCTTCTCCCAGTTTGAGAGCTGCTCTGTTTTATCCAGAGGCTTCCCCAGCACGTGCTGCACCAGGAGGCTCAGTCCCCTCTCCGGCTGCCTGACCCCTCTCTCCTCGTGGCTGTGCTCCAGGGACAGTCCATCGACCTTCCGGCCGTCCTTCCCCCACTGCAGCTGATGGAAACACAAAGATACAAACCACCTGGTTAGGAAGCAGCTCCCAAACACCTCCTGCTCCAGCTGCTGGGGCCAGGCACAGCCCCATGACATCCACCTCGTGCCCGGCATATTGAACCCCAGCCCTTGGGATGGCACGAGATAAACATGGCATTGGGTTATTTCTTTAACAAACACACTTGCTGGAGAGAAATCTCTTCCTCAGCCAAGAAAGGGGGAAAAGGGCATTCTTGTACAGCCCTGCAGCAGAGGCTCCTTAGGGGTCTGCAGGGTGCTCACCATGCAGGGGGCTGCTGGGCATCCATGCAATAAAGGACAGCAGGGGCAGTTCAGCACCTTTCTCCTCCTAGTCCCAGTGTGAAAAGGCATTCCTGTGACACCCTGGGCAGCAGCCCTCTCTGCAGCTGCCATTTCCCTGCCATTTCCCAGCTTAAACTGAGGCAATGCCTGCTGGCAGCTATGTCAGCCATGCAGCACTTCCCAGGTTAAGCTATCAATCCCAAAGATCTGCTTCACTTCAACCCACAACCTCAAAAACTCTCTTACATTTTACCCATTAAAATGGTTGTACGGAACATTTTCGTGGACTGCTGAAAGCTCCTGTGTGCAAATTCAGGGACAGCTGTGCTTCAGCTGACCAGAAATTCCTGTGCTGAACCCACCAGCAGCCCTCCTAGGAACATCAGAGTTCTGTACAAATCATTAACTCCACCATATCTGCTTCAATAATTCATGGCCTTGGAGTAGCAGAATTTCTACAAGAACTTCCTCTACCTAAGTATAACTTGTGCTGAGAAACCGTGTCCTGGCTGAAAGGAGCTCAGTCTCCAAGAGCTTTTCACAGCTTCTATAAAGGTTATGAAAAAGCTGTCAGTACTATAAGCTTTAACATTTTAGTTGATGAAAACCAAATACTTCTGTCTTCCTTTACAGAATCCCAACACCTCAAACCATCTGGAGGAAATGGTCTCTCTACTCATGCAGCCATCTCCCTGCCAATCCAGGATGCAAACAGACAGTGCTGTGGATTCAGGACAGTTATCCACCAGCACATGCAGGAGACACCACTTCCCACATCTCCATGTGTTTATCCTTACTTGTTTGTCCACTGCAAGAAGATCCACCACACCTTGCATTTGCTTCTCTGTGTCTTTCAGAGCAGAACATGTGGCTGCAAGGCTGCTGAGGTCTCCAGACATCCCATAACCTGAAGACAAAAGAAGCCCAAATCACACAGGTAGGAAAACTCAAATCATGCTTAATGCACTGCAGCTTCTTCTAGTTCAGAATCAAAATGCTGACAAAATATTTATAAGCATTGGTGGGAAGACTGTTCAAACAGGGAGCAAGACTGGGTCCTGTCTCTTCTGTTCCCAAGAGACACTCCTGCATATCAAGGGAAAAGAGAGGTGCATGAAAAATGCTGAGTTTAATATCAACTTACTTAAAATCTGGGAAATGTATTTATGAATTTGCCTTTGAAATCCAGGTTTAGCAGCTCCTGATAAAAGCTTCCAAAAACCATGTATGGTAGTTCAGAGATCTTTGGTGTCCAGCACAGCAACTCTGGGACAGCACATCCAGACAGCTCTGCCCACCAGAATTACCTGAACCACTGAAGGTTGGGTGTCAGCTGGGGATTAGTACAGAGCTAGCACAATCCCAAGTCTGAAAGTGCAAGTTATATCAGGAATCCTGGATCTGACGTGAAATGGGGACATACAATGGCATGGACCTGTGTCAGGGCAGCTCAGGCTGGAGCTCAGGGCAAGGCTCTGCCCCCAGAGGGTGCTGGCACTGCCCAGGCTGCCCAGGGAATGGGCACGGCCCCGAGGCTGCCAGAGCTCCAGGAGCCTTTGGGCAGCGCTGCCAGGGGTGCCCAGGCTGGGGCTGCTGGGGGGGCTGGGCAGGGACAGGGGCTGGGCTGGGGGATCCCTGTGGGTCCCTTCCAGCTCAGGATATTCTGTGATTCTGTGATCCTGTATCTCTATCACTCCCAGTTACACCAGTCACTGTTTCCTGGCCTGGAAGTGCCTGAACACTCAGGGCTACAAAAGCTGGTTCCATGGCAAATGGATTTAGGGAATGACAACACCAAGAGGATCTAGGAATGACAAAGATGACAAAACAGGAGGTGTGAAGTCCCGAGGTGGGGAAGAGAGAGGGGTGTTACCTAGTTTAATGATGGCTGCATCTGAATAGAGCATCTGGATGAAATGGGGAAGCTTCTCCTTTGCCCCCTCAGCCTCAGCTTGCTCGAGGAGCCGTGGCAGGTCCAACAGGAACACCTCATCCTTCAGTGCAAGTTGCAGGAGGGCAACACGGGGCTTCCCCACCATGCCAAAGGAAGGCTTCCACTCCATGTCCACACCAACGACCTGCCCAGCCTGCAACACAGACACTTCCTGCACCCAGAGCCTGCCTGTGCTTGAGAGGAGCCTGCAGAATCTGTCCAGGACATGAACATTGCCTCCCCAGCACCTGCAGCTCTTTGTGCAAACTGCCACAGACACAGGGAACTCTCATAGCACCTGTGTCACCCACGGGAACCTTCCCTGGTAAAATTCCCAACACCTTCCCCAAACCAGACCAACCTAAAGGAGCAGCTGTTCCTGGCTTGGGGAGGTAGGCAGTGGATGGCAGTGGCCACGTCCAGCTCTGTGTCTCAGCCTGGCATGTAGTTCCAGCTCCATGACCCTGCCAGGCCAATCCCAGGTAACACTCACCTGCAGCACCTTCTCCCAGCACCGCAGTGTCTCCTCCCATGTCTGCAGAAAGTGAATATTTTCCCGTGGAATAGGAAGCTGGTAATAGTCCTTCTTCTTACTGGCCTCATAATTATCTGCTTTTGTAACCTCTTCTACCCTGCACAGAATCAGATGCAACAGTTTGAAGCCATGGAAAACCAGGAGGAAATCCCGGACTGGAACAAGAGGGTCAAGTTTTACTCCCCTTATTTTACCCTGATCCTCTTTTTCCCCATGACACTCAGCTCTTTCTCAGAGAAAAGAAACTAATCAAAAAGATCCAGCTCCCTTGGACAGATCACACATTTCCAGTTAGTCTTTTTCCCATAGAGACTTGAAATGGTTCATTATTTGGGAAACTAATGTTTGGGAAACCTATGTTTGGGAGGCTGTGTGCCCAGTTTTGCAGCAGAGCAGCTCTCCCTGCACAAACACTCTTTCCTGTGGGTTTGTGTGCAAGAGGAAGTCAATATTTGTGTAAAATATTTAATGAAGGTGTGCAGCCTCAGGTCTCCTGGAATATTCTCACCTGCAAAGCTCAGGAGCCGCGTGTGGTGTGACCAGAGACAGAAGATGTCATTTATATGCTGGTGCCACCTTGTTGTGTGCAGTGTGAGCTCCCTCTGGGAACCTGTGGCTGTGTTACTCAACAGACTGGGCAGCCAGACTGTTTTATGGGGTTTCATGGCTCTACCGACTTTATAGCAGCTACCACAGCAGGTATCATGACTGGATGAGTAAACTGCAGTACAAAGGGCTTCATTAATCCATCCCAGCTCCTCACGCAGGGCAAGCGCACCCTCACCTGCCTTTCCTCCACAGCACAGCATTCCCACAGCACAGAGGTGCAGTGATGGGTTTTATCTCTGGATGCACAGTCTGTGGCTCAGCCACATATCTGCAATCACCCCTTTGTGTTTTGAGGGCTTATCCCTCATGGAAAAACCTCCTGGCTCCCAACTGATGGCTGCTGTGGTTTCAGGAGGGAGGAGGAGGAGGGCAGCTCTGGCAGTGCTTTGGATCAAGGCAGGAGCATGTCCAAGACAGACAAGAGTTTCATGTGCTCCAAAAAAGCTGAGGATCCTCTGGAGAAGTGTGTTCAGGGTGATTACATCTGTGTTGTATTTCCTGAGGTGACACAGCGCTTGAACAAGTGCAGATATGCACAAGGAGAAAGAGCAGATCCACAAAACCAGGATCCCTGAACATGAACAGTTCAAGCCCATCTGTGAGACCTTCCCAAAATCACCAGCATTAAAAAATAATAACTAGTAAAACTTTGACAGATCTGCAATCACCTCAGTAAAATTGATGAATATTTGCACTGTTGATCTGGCAGAAGAAGTGTAAGAGCCCTCAGTAGCATGAAGTAATCTCACAGAGCTTCTGTGTACTCAGGATGAGTTTAAAATGCCCCTTTCACAGACATTTCCAGGCTTATGACAATCAAATGCAGTGTGTGCAGGGCCACAATGGGATCCAAGTATATGGAGGAAGTCTCTGCAAACCTCTGTCCCCATGGATGCATCACAACAGACACCTTTAAGCAAATACACAGTGTTTGTATGACAAGCAATCTGCACCAAACAGAGGATTTACCTGTCCTGGATGTGCAGCTTCTGAAGCTCCTCAGCCACAGCCTGGGGCAGCATCTCGGGGGGCACCCGGCAGTGCCGCGCCCACCGCGCTGCCCCGCGCGCGTTGCAGTGCCGGAGCAGCGACTGCACCAGGTGTGCCTGCAGCCACCGGTTCTCCCCAACTGTGCTCTGCAAGGGCAGCAGGGGAGAGCACACTGTCAGTGCAACTTCCATCCCCCCCTTGTAAAAACCTTATTCCTTATATCTAGTCTGACTCTCCCCTATTTCAGTTCAAAACCATCAGCCCAAGTTCTGTCGCAATAGGTCCTGTTAAAAACTCTGTCCTCATCTTTTTTATTGGCCCCCTTTAAGTACTGAAATGTCTCCTTAAAGCCTTCTCCAGGTGAGGACCCCCAGCTCTCCCAGCCTGTCTCCAGAGCAGAGGGACTCCAGACCCTGGAGCATCTTTGGGATGGCTTTCTTAGGATAGACATTGGCTGTGTGTTCAGGGCAGATGGTGATGTGGAGTCTCCTCCATCCTTGGAAGTATTTGTAGGGATTGTTGTGATTGCCAGTCATCCATAGGTGACCATGGATGGGATTGCCAGTCATCCATACGGCAGGGAGGGCACATCAGCAAAGCTTTCCTGAGTGGTGTTCAGAGCCAGGAAAAGGCTCACATCCCCCTCCAGCCTCCTACCCCCAGTGCTGTGAGATGGGGGCTCCGGGACCCCCAGCCACGGGGTCAGTCCAGGCTGGCAGCAGTGTCACCCTGCACTGGAACTCAGCTGGATGAAATATGCTATGTGAGTCCCACATCCAGCTGGGGTGAACAGTGATTGCATAAAGGAGTTCTTCCCTTTGTGTCTGTTCAAGGCCCCTGTGAAGGTGAGAACTGGATCATTGCTTTGGGACAAACGCACTCTCAGGTGTTGCTGTGTCACTCCCTGTGCTCACAACTGCAAACAGGGAGGGCACTTTAGGACATTTCCTGCTCCCAGCTGTTCCCTGAAGGAAGGGAAGTGCCTTGGCCCACTGCAGAGCCTGGGGACACCAGCACAAACGCACCCTGCCTGTGGTTCATGGCACAGTGCCCACCCTGGCAGGGGTCAGCAGCCACTTCCAAGGGGCAGTGACAGTCGATGACAGCTGGATGCACCAGAGCTCTTCTGCCTTGTCCACCTCTGAGAGGTGCAGGTGTAAGAGGAAATACAAAGACAGTAACACTGAGGGTCACACCAGCTCCATGGGGTGGGAGCTTCCCAGCCAGCCCACATGTGCTGCAAACATCCCAGAGCCCCCACAGCCACTTCTCCTCTCTGACCTAGTCATGGATATACCCTTGAAGTTAATATTGTCAAGAAAACTGCTAAAACAAGCTGAAACCCTACAGGGTGGCCCAGGACCTGTAGCTCTAGGACCGGCACTACAAACGAGAATTTCAGAGGAGTAAAATGCTCAGATCTGCACTGGAAGTCCATCCCCACCATCTGCCCTTTGCTGCCCACCCGCACTGCTCGGGGCCCCAGCCTGTTCCCAGGGAGGGCAGCACCTTGCTCCCTCTGCCCAGCGTGTAGGAACAGCTCCCAGCTGGGTGGGAGGCTGTGGCCGTGGGGCCTCATTCCTCACATTCCTTCAGTAACTAAAAGGTGAGAATCTGTCTTCAAAGCAGACACAGACATCAGGAAACAAATCTGTTGATGGCCCCAAGGTAAAAAGGAAGGGAAACAGAAAGCCAAGGAGAAAAAAAGGATGACCCCCACCCAGAGGTGCAGAGGCTCAGAACAGCTTGGAGGGATCTGGCACCCCAGGTAGCAGCAGCCTGCTCACAAAAACTGCTGCCTCAGCACTCTGTCTGCACCCGGGAGACTGCCAAATGCCAAGGCACAGCTCTGCTCATGGATATGTGGAGGTACAGTTTTACTGCTGTTCCCAAGGGGCTGGGGGCACACCAGGAGCCCGGGGGAACAGGACAGGGGCCCAGCAGCTCCCCACGGGCTCAGGTACAGGAGGGAAGGGCAGGGCAGGGAAGGGACAGGACACATTCTTCTGCTCGTGCTTCTTGCCCGCTATGCTTCCCCCGGCCATGCCAGTCCTGACCTCTGTGCCTCTCTCCCCTCTCCCTTTGCCTTCTGTGACTGAGCTCAGACAAGCACTGAACACATGAGGAGGGGCTGAGTTAAACCCTCCTGCACATCTGCCAAGCCACTTCTCAGAGTCCTTCCCCAAAAGAACATATTTTCTTACTAACATTGCAGAGCAATTCCCTCTTCTTGCTCCCCCTGTGTCCATCCTATTGTCTTCCTGTCTTTTTTCTAAAACATGAACTCTTTGGTGTTGGAGCTCTCTTCAGTTCACCCCAAGTCAATTCTTAATAAATCTCATTGTGGCAGGTTTATTTCTGGAAATAATGAGGTGCAGATTTTTTAAAATATTATTTTAATGATAACAGATTTCTTCTTTCAACCAGAAAAAACAACTCTGTAAAGAAGGTTACTCTCTCCAGAGATATCCCATCTTGCATTCTGAAACAGAAAATAGCTTTGTTTCTCTTTTTACTGAAAAAAAAAAAAAAGAAAAAAGCCAACATTGCTCCAAAGGGGGAAGGCTTCCACCGCAACAGCTCTGCAAGAGGCAAGAATGTGGAAACTTTGGCCCCAGAGATGTGGGCACAGATGCAGAGAGTAATGTTTCACCAGGGATGACATTTCATGTGCTTTGCTGTCAGTAAATGAACACTTCTCAAGAGGAAACTGGCACGGGTGCTCTGATCAACATCAGCAACACCTCCGAGCAGGAAAAGATTCTACAGAGTATGCGGCTTGTTTACATCCCTCTTGGAATTCTAGACATATCATACATTCTTTAATCCATAGGAACACACAGAAACCCCTGACACCAACAATAACCCATGATTAAAGCTTTCCACAGTGATGGCTACAGATTTCCTACCCGTAAATCCTGTTCTCACCACCAAGGCTTCACAAAGCTCACACCAACCACGCAGGGCAAGCTCAGCGATGTCCTGACCTTAACCCGTCAACCATTTCTCCATTCATCCCAATAATTTTGAAACCAAATATCCAATATCTCCCTTAAAAATCACCCTATCCAACCCTAGATCAGTTTTATCTGTATGCGTTAAGCTGCATTTCAGTCCCAGCCAATTCTGCCCTTTGCCTCAACATCTTTTCCCAAAGAGGGACGTTATTCACACGACTGACATTGGCTATTTGCAGAGTCAGATTTTAATTTAACTTTTGAATGTCTTGGCCTATTTCCCCTGTTTTCAAGTGCTTCCAGAACCAACAAAACCCCCTCCTGCTAATGTAGAGAAAATGTCAAGGAGAATATTTTAAAGTCAGCAATTTTAAAAGGGGAAAAAGAAAGCCAGGCTTGAAAAGGACAAACCCCTGTCAGCAGTGGAAGGCACTGAGAGCACTGCTGAGTTCTGTGTGGTGTGGCAGGTACAGACACCTGTGCTTAAACACTCCCTGAACATGCCACTGTGGTACTGTCACTGCAACTTTATTGTATTTGTGCTCGAGGTTTCTTTTTCAAAGTTTCCATCATTTGTGCTGCATGGGGAGATGCTGCAGTGTCACCATCAGATGTCACTGAAGGGAACTCCTTGGAGCATAAGGGTGGAGCTGGGACCCTCAGAGCCAGCTCAGACGACGGCCGCAGCCTTTTCCCTAATGGGAGGGGGATCTTGTCTTCTGGAGAGCCTACAGAGATCCTGGAATTCCAGAACTGGGAATTCGGGCTGGAAGTGATCTTAAAGCCCATCTGGGTCCAACCCCCCTGCCATGGCAGGAACACCTTCCACTATCCCAGGTTGCTCCAAGTCCCATTCAACCTGGCCTTGGACACTTCAGGGATCCAGGGGCAGCTCAGCTGCTCTGCCCACCTCACAGGGAAGGATTTCTCCCTAATGTCTATTATAATCCTGCTCTCCTTCAGTGTAAGGCCATTTCCCTTTGTTTTGTCACTGTCTGCCCATGTAAAGTCCCTCTCCCTCTCTCCCATAAACCCCCCTCAAGTCTCAACAGGCTACAATAAGTTTTCTCTGGAGCTTCTCCTCCTTGGGCTGGACGCCTCCAGCTCTACCAGGCTGGCTTCAGAGCACAGGGGCTCCAGACCATCTCTGTGTCCTCCTCTGGACTATCCAACAGGTCAATGCCTTTGTGGTGCTGAAGACCCCAGAGCTGGACACCGTGCTCCACATGGGGTGTCAGAAGGGCAGGGTGGAGAGGGGAATTCCTCTCCCTTGGATAAAGAGGCCAACTTTACCTCCAGTCCGTCCTGAGCAAGGTTTCCTGTGAAAGCAGCAGTCACTCGGCCACCACCACCACCCACAGCCAGAGCCTGAGAACACCCTGAGAACACGCTGCTTTCTCATCACTGGAGCTGCTCTCTCGCTCACAGGCACTAGGCACTAATTTATGAACTGGAGAAGAGTTAAATAGGCTCCATTGAGAGCCCCGCAGCCCGGTTTTCAGATAGCGATCAGTGCGTCAGTGCCGGAGCCACGCTCCCCAGCTCGGCAGCCATTACCACATCAATGGCGGGGAAGGGGCCCGATCCTCCTGCACAAAGCTGCGGCTCCCCGGGGCGGGCTCGGCTCCCCGGGGCACGTTCGCACCACTCCTCCTGCTTGGCGAATCCGGACACTCGGCTTCCGGGCCGCCGGGGCCCCTTCCAAAGTCAATTCAGAGGAGTCTAAGTTAGGATATCACTGGCAGGGATCAAGGCAAAGGCAACTCTTAAAGTCAGTTTGCCTCTGAACTGGGGCTCCTCACAGGGAGCTGATGGTTCTGGGCAACCTGGAGGAAGCTGCTGGTTTGTGGTGAGCAGCTGAACAATATTGTGTGACAGGATGCATCTGCTCCATGTTCCTGTGTGCCTCACACAACCACGGCCAAGTGGCAGCCCCAAGAGTCACACCACACAGCTTCTCTGGTAAAGCTCACCCCCACAGGGGCTTTAAAGGTCCCTTCCAAACCAAACCGTGCTGGGATCCCATGAGATGGTCACTGGGTTGAAGGACATGGGGAGGCTGAGGGAGCAGGGCTTGTTCAGCATAGGGAAGTCCTGGCTGGATGTAGGGGAATATAATCCCCTTTTCAGTTTTAGCAGGAGGGACCATAGAAGATGGAGTCAGATCCTCATAGAAATTCCAACCAGGC